CCAGCATCTGTAGTCTCCTGGTTTGTTCATTTTAGCCACTCTGACTGGCGTGAGGTGGTATCTGAGTGTGGTTTTCATTTGTATTCCCCTGATGAGGAGCGGCGTTGAGCATCTTTTCATGTGCCTGTTGGCTATCTGGATCTCTTCTTTAGAGAAGTGTCTATTCATGTTTTCTGCCCATTTCTTCACTGGATTATTTGTTTTTCGGGTGTGGAGTTTGGTGAGCTCTTTATAGATTTTGGATACTAGCCCTTTGTCTGATATGTCATTGGGAAATATCTTTTCCCATTCCGTTGGCTGACTTTTAGTGTTGTTGATTGTTTCCTTTGCAGTGCAGAAGCTTTTTATCTCCTTGGGGTCCCAGTAGTTCATTTTTGCTTTTAATTCCCTTGCCTTTGGAGATGTGTCAAGTAAGAAATTGCTGCAGCTGAGGTCAGAGAGGTTTCTTCCTGCTTTCTCCTCTAGGGTTTTGATGGTTTTCTGTCTCACATTCAGGTCCCCAGTGACCGAGGTGAGCTCTGTCTTCCAGGGCTCAGCAACTCTCCCTCCTGTTGTCCTCTTGCCCTCCCTGCTCTCTGAGAGCAGAGCTGATGACTTTTAACCCTCCAGATGTTAAGTCCCGGTGGCTGTTAGAACTCAGGCAGTCCGGCCCCTCTGCTTTTGCAAGGCAGACTCACCGGTGCTCTGCCTTATTGGGAGGGCTGCTCCTCCACTGCCTCAGCTCCCTCCCGCCAGTCCGCGTAGCGCACAACGCCTCTCCACCCTTCCTACCCTCTTCCATGGGTCTCTTGTCTATGCTTGGCTCTGGAGAGTCCGTTCTGATAATCTTCTGGTGGTTTTCTGGGTTATTTAGGCAGGCGTGTGGGTGGAATCTAAGCGATCAGCAGGACGCTGTGAGCCCAGCATCCTCCTGTGCTGCCATCATCGGGAGTTCAGGATTGTAAGAATTCTATAAGACTAAAGCAGAAACCACAAAGGAAAGTATTAATAGGCTTGATTTTTTTAAAATGTTTATTTATTTTTGAGACAGAGAGAGAGCATGAACGGGGGAGGGTCAGAGAGAGAGGGAGACACAGAATCTGAAGCAGGCTCCAGGCTCTGAGCTGTCAGCACAGAGCCCGTCACAGAGCTCCAACTCACACACCAGGAGATCATGACCTGAGCCGAAGTCGGCTGCTTAACCGACTAAGCCACCCAGGCGCCCCTAATAGGCTTGATTTAATAGAAATAAAATATGCCTTTCCACATAGAAGAAAATCAAAAATAAAATTCAATTTTAAATAATTCTGTCATCTGTGCCAAAGGATTGGTAGCCATAATAGTAATAATAATAGTCGTAGTAAATGATTTCAAATTAAGGAGAAAATGATGCAGATTCCACTGGAAAAAATGACAAAAGCTACCAACATGCAAATCCTAAAAGAAGACATTTAAATGGGTGGTAAGAAATTTCAGCTTCACTAGTAGTGATAATAAAAATAAATAAGTTCAAAAACAAAAACAAATATTTTGCTAATGAATTTTTAAAAAATAAACACCGTTACTAAAATTTGTGTAAGAAAATGAACTTGTCACATACTGAAACTCTAGCACAGAAGTCAGCAAACTTTTCCTGTAAAGTGCCAAGTAATAATTATTTTAGACTTTGCAAGCAGTGCTGTCTCTCCCAAGCCATTGACATTTCTAAAATAAGGTACTGTTAAAATCCAATAGACTCCACCAAAAGTCTGCTAGAACTGATACATGAATTCAGCAAAGTTGCAGGATACAAAATCAATGTACAGAAATCAGTTGCATTCTTATACACTAACAATGAAGCAACAGAAAGACAAATAAAGAAACTGATCCCATTCACAATTGCACCAAGAAGCATCAAATACCTAGGAATAAATCTAACCAAAGATGTAAAGGATCTGTATGCTGAAAACTATAGAAAGCTTATGAAGGTAATTGAAGAAGATTTAAAGAAATGGAAAGACATTCCCTGCTCATGGATTGGAAGAATAAGTATTGTCAAAATGTCAATACTACCCAAAGCTATCTACACATTCAATGCAATCCCAATCAAAATTGCACCAGCATTCTTCTCGAAACTAGAACAAGCAATCCTAAAATTCATATGGAACCACAAAAGGCCCAGCATAGCCAAAGGAATTTTGAAGAAGAACACCAAAGCAGGAGGCATCACAATCCCAGACTTTAGCCTCTACTACAAAGCTGTCATCATCAAGACAGCATGGTATTGGCACAAAAACAGACACATAGACCAATGGAATAGAATAGAAACCCCAGAACTAGACCCACAAACGTATGGCCAACTCATCTTTGACAAAGCAGGAAAGAACATCCAATGGAAAAAAGACAGTGTCTTTAACAAATGGTGCTGGGAGAACTGGACAGCAACATGCAGAAGGTTGAAACTAGACCACTTTCTCACACCATTCACAAAAATAAACTCAAAATGGATCAAGGACCTGAATGTGAGACAGGAAACCATCAAAACCTTAGAGGAGAAAGCAGGAAAAGACCTCTCTGACCTCAGCCGTAGCAATCTCTTACTCGGCACATCCCCAAAGGCAAGGGAATTAAAAGCAAAAGTGAATTACTGGGACCTTATGAAGATAAAAAGCTTCTGCACAGCAAAGGAAACAACCAACAAAACTAAAAGGCAACCAACGGAATGGGAAAAGATATTTGCAAATGACATATTGGACAAAGGGCTAGTCTCCAAAATCTATAAAGAGCTCACCAAACTCCACACCTGAAAAGCAAATAACCCAGTGAAGAAATGGGCAGAAAACATGAATAGACACTTCTCTAAAGAAGACATCCGGATGGCCAACAGGCACATGAAAAGATGTTCAGCGTCACTCCTTATCAGGGAAATACAAATCAAAACCACACTCAGGTATCACCTCACGCCAGTCCGAGTGGCCAAAATGAACAAATCAGGAGACTATAGATGCTGGAGAGGATGTGGAGAAACGGGAACCCTCTTGCACTGTTGGTGGGAATGCAAATTGGTGCAGCCGCTCTGGAAAGCAGTGTGTGGGTTCCTCAGAAAATTAAAAATAGACCTACCCTATGACCCAGCAATAGCACTGCTAGGAATTTATCCAAGGGACACAGGAGTACTGATGCATAGGGGCACTTGTACCCCAATGTTCATAGCAGCACTCTCAACAATAGCCAAATTATGGAAAGAGCCTAAATGTCCATCAACTGATGAATGGATAAAGA